TATTGCATACACGACTAATAATGAATATATAAATTAGAATATTGCATGCCATAATTAATTAACAATTATAGATATTATAATATTGCATGCATAATTAATAATGAATGTGGAAATTAGAATATTGTATGCATGATTAATAAACAAATATAGAAAACAATATTGTATACATAATAAATAAATATAGATATTAGAATATTTTATGCATAATTAATAAATAAATCTCTAAAAAAAATAAGAAAAAAATGAAATAATTTTCCTTCCCTCCCCGCAGGCGCATCGTGCGTGGGCAGACGGCCCCGAGCCTGGCCGTGCACGACGTCGGCTTCTGCGAGGACAAAATCCCTGAGTGGGGGCGGAACCCGCGCTGCCCGGTGCCCAAGTTCGCGGGGAGCGCGCCCGCGGTGCGTGTGCTTTATCGTCGGCGTGTAAATATATAAAAAAATCGGAAAAGTGTGATCGGGCGGGGTAAATAAATAAATATAAAAATTAGAATATTGTATACATGATAAATATAAAAATTAGAATATTGTATGCAAAATAAATAGATAAATATTAAAAAAAAGAAACTAACGACTGCCCACCTCCCTACCCCCACCACATACACAGATATGAGGTGACTGGCCGGATTGAGTTTGTTGAGGGTTCGAGAGATGACATTGTGATTCCTGTCTACCTGCGAGAACGCACCCCATCCCGAGACTACAACAACTCCTACTATGGTCTGATACTTTTCGGGCACCCGCTCCTGGTGTCCGTGCCCCGGGACCGGTTCTCCTGGGAGGGCCTGTATAACATCCTCATGTATCGTCTTTCGTAAGTACCGCTACTTTAATACGGTTTGGGGAGGTGGATTGGTAGTAGAACTTCCAGGACTTTTTCAGAGAGACTTGAAAGAATTTTTACTGGTAGTTTATTCTTGGATCTAAAATCCAGTTCTTACCATGGAAGGCAAGTATTATCTGAATTAATTTCTCCTTCATTCTAATTCAAAAATCCATCCTTGGGGCTGGACAGATGGCTCAGTGGTTAAGGGCCTGCTCTTCCAAAGGTCCCGAATTTGAGTCCCAGACACCACATGGTAGCTCACAACCATCTGTAAGGAGATCTGGTGCCCTCTTCTGGCCTTCAGGCATATACACAGACAGAATATTGTATACATAATAAATAAAATTCAAAAATTCATCCTTACCAGGCGGTGACGGCACACACCTTTAATCCCAACACTCAGGAGGCAGAGGCAGGTGGATCTCTGTGAGTTCGAGACCAGCCTGGTCTACAGAGCAAATTCTAGAACAAAGAGAGCCAAGCTTATTACACAGAGAAACCCTGTCTCAGGAACTGGAGAGATGGTTCGGTGGTTAAGAGCACTGGCTGCTGTTCCAGAGGACCAGAGTTCGAGTCCTGGCACCCACATGGCAGCTCACAACTGTCTGTAACTCCAGTTTGACCTGACACATTCACACCAATGCACATAAAATAGTTATTTTTTTAAAAACCCTGTCGCGAAAAACAAAACAACAAAACAGCTGGGTGGTGGTGGCGCACGCCTTTAATCCCAGAACTTGGGAGGCAGAGGCAGGCGGATCTCTGTGAGTTCTCTGTGAGTTCGAGACCAGCCTGGTCTACAAGAGCTAGTTCCAGGACAGGAACCAAAGCTACAGAGAAACCCTGTCTCGAAAAACCACCTGCAACCACCCGCAGGGTAGGGAACCTGGACTGCTTATCATTCTCGAGAGGGAGGGGGAAAGGAG